CAGGAATTAATGAAATAGAGACCAGAAAAACAATTGAGAAACTAAATGAAACTAAAATTAAGTTCAATAACTGATAAATCTTTAGCCAGACTGATCAGGAAAAAAATGTGAGAAGACATAAAACATTACCAGTATCAGGAAAGAGAAATGACAACCCTTCAGATAATACAGACATCAAAAGGATAATCAAGTAATTTTGTGGACAACTTCATGTCATGAAATTCAATAACTTAGATGAAACAGCCAGTCTGCCCAAAGACACAAATTTGAAGCTTACTTAACAATAAATAGATAACCTCAATCGTCTTATATGTATTAAAGAAATTAAAATTGTAATTTAAAGCCTCTGCACAAAGAAAACTCGAGGGCAAGATGAATTCATTGGTCCACTCTACCAAACATTTAAGGAAGAAATAATATTGATTTTAAATAAATTCTTCCACAAATGACTACACATATATAGATATTTAATTTTTGACAAAGGTAGCATTTCAGAGCAGCAGAAAACAGGTGGTCTGTGGTAGGCTGAATTCCCAGATGACACAAATACTCCTTGCCCTTTTACAATCCCTCCCTTCTGAGTGTGGGTGAAACCTGTGAATATGATGACATATTACTCCCATGACTAGGTTATGTTATGAAGTTGAGACGACTTTAAGGGAGATTATCCCAGTGGACCTACCCTGATCACAGGAGTCCTTCAAAATTTGAGTTCTCTCTGGCTAGTGGCAGAAGAAGTCACAGATTCAAAGCACTAGAAGGATTAAATGCACCACTGTTGGTTTGAAAATGGAGCTCATGTGAAAAGGACCTGAAAGTGACCTCCAGGAGCTGAGAGGGACCCCTGGCTGACAGCCAGCAGGAAAATGGGGACTGCAGTCAAAAAGCCACATGAACTTGATTCTGCCAACAACCTGAATGAGCTCAGAAATGGATTGTCGGATATGCAGGGGTATAAAAGAGGCTTCTGAGATCCAGGCAATGGTGATCCTTGAGCTGGGTGGGAGTTATATGGGAGCTTGCTTTCTGATTATTCATGGAGGTAAACATTTACGTCTTAAGCACTTTTCTGTAGTGTTATTCTTGAATTGGAAAAAATATAAACATTCAAAAAACTTGTAAGGAATCTTACATTTCTAAAAGTAAATCTTTCATCAGGGAATGTACCTCACCTCACCTTTATTCTTATTCTTGTTTTTCCTGGTAATTTCCCATCTAAGTGTACTTTTTTGTTGTTCGTTTTTAGAAAGTAGAACACCAGTTTCCTTTCCAGTAATTGCTCCAAGGAAGCAATTATCTTTTTCTTTCCTCAAAAATGCTCATAGGGCTTCCCTGGTGGCACAGTGGTTGAGAGTCCGCCTGTCGATGCAGGGGACACGGGTTCGTGCACCGGTCTGGGAAGATCCCACATGCCGCGGAGTGGCTGGGCCCGTGAGCCATGGCCGCTGAGCCTGTGCGTCCGGAGCCTGTGCTCCGCAACGGGAGAGGCCACAACAGTGAGAGGCCCGCGTACCGCAAAAAAAAAATAAAAAAAAAAAAAAAAAAAATGCTTATAACACAGCACAGTGGCCAAAAACAATAATACTAAATAGAAGTGTAATTTCCTAACGGAAAAACACATTTCTCCTGGCAATGACTATCAACAGCATTCCTGGAAACCCAGCAGAATTCAGTTTCAAGCACCATAGTGAAGGAAATATCTAGTAGCAGGAGTAATGGAAACAAAACACGAAGGGAAGAGAATGGTTTAGAAGAATGGTACTTATTTACTTTTATTTCCTTAAAAATCTAAAAACAGGTGTAATAAAAACCTCACTGAGTCTAATGTTCTATTTTATTTGCTACCATCATCTTCTGAAATCTGCTTAGCGTTTAAAGATCACTACAGGACATCAACTCCCAGTGGAGTGGCTAAGGAACGAAATGAGTGAGGGATAAAGTTGGAAGACCAATAGGACATTCATCTCACAGGCTAAATGGTACCACTAAATTCTCCAAGTACACATAATCTACAATAGAAGGCTACCTTCTGTTTAACTCAATCACCTATCTTGATGCCATTTTGTCTGTCTGGAAAATTCCCAACTCATCTTCAAGTCCAAATTCATTTGTCTTCTCCCTTACTTATCTAGATAGAACTAATTTCTCCTTTTCTTGGTACCATTCCTGACCTGTATCTGTATTCATAACAGTCGTAACTGTGATATTCTTCACATTTATCTCCCCTACCATGCTATATAAATATATATATAAATATAGCAGCAGCTATATTTCATTTATTATTCTCTCCAGTGATTATGCAAGTGCTTGGTTCATGGCAGCTGTGAGTTAAGGGCTGTTAAATAAAATAAATGGGAAGGGACTAGGCCGGTGTTTTTCTTTTTTGTGGGGGTAGGAGGGAAACAGGTCAGGAGGAAAAACCTGCTGCCTTCCTTGAAGTGGTCCAAGAGCTGACATCACAAGAGAGGCCAGAACACTGACATGGTAAGCCAAGCTGGCAGGTACTGGTATAAAACTGGGACAAATCATTGCAGGCAAGAGTGGCAATCTAAGAGCTTCTGTTGAGACTGGCCCCAGACTAGGCCACATAAAGCACTGGCCATAGCAGTGAGGGAAAATGCAGAGGGAAGAAAAACCACAATTCATGATACAATAGGAGGTTTGGGGCAGATGTATGAACAGTTTTCTGAAGTAGAACTTGAGGCTTGGAAGCCAAGTTGTCCTGCTGTTTTGGTGGTATGTGATCCAGTGCCATTAGCACAGTTTCACAGTAGAATGCCCCAGTTTGTTCAGTTTTGCCTTTATATTGGGGAGGGAGGATTGATGGTGCTGAAGCAAAGGGAATTACTTGAACTGGGCACAGTTTAATTAGGGCAGGTGAAATTTGGAGGTAGGAAATCTCCCATACATGGGTGTGTACACTGCAGTGTAAAATGTGATTGTTACTCCTGGTCTGTTCTGACCAAGATATTATTTCCAGTCACTTTAATTTTCTTTAAAATGGCTGTTAGGTTCTGTATGTCCAAAGTATGCCATAAGGTTTAGAAGGAAAAAAACAGTCTCTTAAAAAAATGCTCCTTACAAGATTTGCTGGATTAGAAAAAGGGTTTGGTATATTTACCTCCACGATGGGAGGGTGGCTGAGGACAGAAGCCACTAGTAAGCACACAAATAGAGGTAAACGCAGTAAGTTTTCATTTAAATTCTCTTTAAAATAATAAGGGTACTACTAATAATCACGGGAACCAAGACAGGCTCTCCTGTGGATAGGTGCATCTAGACGTGCTTCCAAGAGGGTCTCCCATAAATAAACTGCAGACCCCAGTCTGAGGTGGTCTTGTCAGGGCTTGTGAAGCCCAAAGACATTCTGGAGGGGACATGGATGTGGTGGACTTTAGTTATGGTGAAGAGGATGGAGTTAACTGTCTAGGTTACTAGTTAACTAGTATGGATGGAGTTAACTAGCTAGGTGTTTGGTAGGTCCATGGAAGATGGGTGGGTAGGTAGGTCCAAGACCATCTTGATGTAGGGATGTAGTAAATACTAGTACCTACCCAAAAGCCAATAAAAAACCCCTCATTTCCTTGACTAGAGACATGGGAAAGTCAAAACATACGGCTTTTCCACATCCCTTATAGCTAGGGATATGGCCTAGTGTTGGCTACTAATGTAGAGGCAAGGTTCCTGGGGGAGGACTTCTCTTCTTAAATAAGCCAAAGCCTCATCAGGAATAAGCCTCTGCTTTTGCCCCATTTTTCTTAATTCCATCTGAATGTCAGACATGAGGCCTAGAGTAGGAGTCATCATGTGATCATGAGATGACAAGCATGAGGATAAATGTGCTGAGGACAAAGAGTGGAAATCCAGAAAGAACCCACATCCTTGACGGCACTGTTGAGATACTATTTATCCCTGGACTCTCCCCTTTATATTTCTTGGTGCATGAGAAAAATATCAATAGATCCCTATTTGTTTAGGCCACTGTAATTTAGTTTTCTGTTATCTATAGCCAAATTCAGTCTTAGCTAATAAAACCAAATAAAAATGGGGTCTCTGGATTTTCTGGGTGTTTTTGGTTAACAGGGGTTGATGTTGTCAACTTCCTA